ATGCACTATGTTAAAGAAAGATGCAGAGGGTCAGTGTTTCACTCTTCTCTGATATGAAGAATTTAAGGGGGAGGGAGTGGAAAACAGTGGCAGTGTACAAGGAAGACCTTCACGGTCTACCAGACAGGACAGGATGTGACCCATGAGCAGAGAGATACAACAACTAACAACGCACAAGAGATTTTTTTTTTGGGGGGGGGGCAACTAACAGTAGGTGCTTCCAGGCAAGGAGCTTGCCTTTCCAATTGGATCACAGAGAGCCCAGCACACTTTTGGGTGCGCTGTTGACAACAGCAATATACACCAGGCCCTGTTTCATGCTACCAAGAAAGCATCTCTTATAATTTAGACAACATAGAGGTTGAACTAAGAATACAATGCATGACCCAGGCTTTTGTCCCCCGTTTGGTCACTGCACTGTTTGGACACTCCGAACAGGGTTGGCCATCAAACCGTGCACCTCCCTCTGGTTTCTTTCAGAAAGGGGCTGTACTACATTCCTACCCAGCTGGGATACACACAGAGAGCTCCACAGTTTGCTAGGCAGTCACATTAGGAACCCTCACACCGCCACCTGACTCGGGTCCATTGCAGCAGGCGGATCTTCTATCCAAGGGCAAGTTTGCAGATCGAAAGGGAAAGAAAGCTGCAGTCTCTCTTTTCAACTATTGACACCGAGGACTAAAAGCAAGAGGGGGACCACAGTCATGTAGTCAAAGAGAGGTGACGGCGATTTCCCATTCCCTTCCAGCATCCCCACCCAGCACCACCCATAAACCAATCTTGTTCAGTCACGGCAGGGAGCCTAACCCCCCATTTCTGGGGGTGATGCCCCCCAGCAAACAATGGCTCACCCCACTCCCTTCCCCCTTTCACAGCAGCCTCTCCCCACAGAAAGACACACACAGAGAAGGGCAGCAGTGGGTTTCCCGACCTACATCAGCCCCCCTGAAGCCGGGCAGGGGAGCTCTGTACCAGGCTGCTCTGTGGGGAGACCCACCCAACAAGGGGAGGGAAAGTCACCGTAGCCTCCTTCCATCTCTCCCCACACCGGCAGCGAGGGCTTCCCCGCCCTGCCCCGCCCCATGCCCCAGGCCGGGGATGAGCAGCCCAGGGGGACAGACTGGGACGCTGCATGGGGGCGCCTGACCCCCCAGCTCCCCCCCACTTACCCCTTGGCCCGACAGGCCTCTCCGCTCCCCGCCTAGGGCAGGACCGTCCCCCAGCGGACCCCGCGCTGCGGCGGCTCCCGTCTCCCCCGCCAGCGGCTGTCAGCCCCGCATCCCCCCGCGCCCGGCTGTCAGAGGCGCGCGGCGGGCTGCGCCTCCCGCATGGCTGCTGAAGGGGCCGAGCTGGGCGGCCGGCCGGCTGCTTCCTGCCGCCGCGTCCACCTGCACCGCCCTCCGCCGAGCTGACCCTGCCCAGAGGAACCTGCCGCCGCCGCTGCAGCAATGCGGGAGGGGAGCAGCTGGAGGGGGGGAGGGCTGGGAGCCGCGCGGCATGCTGGGAGTTGTAGTTCTTTTGTCCACATCCTACACGTGGTCTCCTGCTGAAAGCAGAGGGCGCTTCACTCCCCTCTTTCTACTTTCCGGGCATTGTTCCCCCCCGCCCCGCAGCCGGTTCCCAGCCCCCCATCACATCCCCCCCCCCGGTAGACCTGAGTTAATTGGACCCCCCCATCTCTGTCTGGTGTCTCAGCGCTACCGCCCGGCCGTGCAGTGAATCAGGGGCCAGCTGGGGCGCGCGCGGGGCTGCCAAAGTGTCTGGAAGGAGTCAGGAGGCGGCGTGCGAGGGGGGAAGTTTTGCAAACTCTGCGCCATGGGGCGCCTGGGGCTGGGGAGCGGGTGCGGGTCGGCGCCGGAGCTGCAAATGAATCCCAGCGGCTGGAGGTGGAGAAGATGAGTCGCTCGAGTCGGGCTGTGCCTTGCAAAGGTCAAGAAGGGGATGTGGAGGATCCTTAGTTTATCCGACAGGCTCTGTGGCGCAATGGATAGCGCATTGGACTTCTAGTTCGATGACAGATGGAGTCATTCAAAGGTTGTGGGTTCGAGTCCCACCAGAGTCGTATTTTGCGGCCTCCCAGGTAATCATTGGCAAGCCTGGCTGCTGGAGAGTAATAGTGCGGAAAAAGTTGGTTGGTGAATCGCTTCGTTTTTGAAGGATGTCAGTTTCAAACTCGTGCGCTTCGCTGTGGCATTTTTAAAACTCAGTTCGGTACTTGGAAGTTTGGTGTTATGAAACCGATGTATTTTTGAAGGATGTTACGGGGTCATTTATGAAGCGTTACCTCTAAATGTGTTTTAATTTTGGCCAATGTTATTTTCAAACTCCCCGGCTTTGTGGTGAAGTGTTTTTAGCTGGTTAGTTATGCAGTTCTTTTAAAATTGGTTCTTTTTTAGCTATTTAAAACACACACAACGTGATTAAATAGGGGAACATAAAAATTACTCTATTTTTCCTCCAAAGGCTGTTTGTTTTTGTTTGTTTGTTTGATGTTATTTCAAGGGCAAGATTTGTTAGAGGAAGAAAGGGTTAGGAGTCAAAAATATCGGTTTTTAACCCTTCTGAAACTATCCTTTGTTTAAATCAGTTTATTTGCAGGATGGTTTTTAAGGCCCAGGTCCTGCAAACACTTAAGCATGTGGGTAACTTTAGTCAAAAGAGTAGCCCCGCCCACACACCTAAATGACAAAGTTATTCACCTGCTAAAGGTCCAGCCCTACATCTATATCGACTGCTGAGCCGGCATAGAGCCTACTAACAATGAATTGCAGAACTGAGTGCAGGATCAGGGACTAAAATGTTATTTTAGTGGCAGATGTGGGGGTTGCATAGTCAGACTTTCATCTGTCCCTGACATTTCTCCATACTCAGAGAAGACTAAGGGTTTGATTTCAAACCCCATTGAAGAAAATATGAGTCTTTCCACTGAGTTTACTGGACTTTGGATCCAGTCCCTAGATCCCTTTGAGTCTAATTTGAAGCTATTCCATGGCTGAACATTCATTTTAATCAAGGATATGTTTTTTGTTTTTGTTTTACCCTACAAGGGTTTCTGAAGCCAGAAACACTTTCTGCTCATCCACAACACCGCTAAATAAAATAAAACCCAATACCTCGGACTGAGATGTAGCAACTTTGAGACAAGACACAATATTTCTAACATATCGATGGCCAAGTTATGAATCCCTGAAAACACCAACTTACGGAGCAATAATAATGTAACAAACCTAGGACAGCTCTACCAAAAGTTCACCCAGTTCATCAGGGAGCCGCGCAAATACACAAGAGCAGCAGACTCATTAATGTCAGTATTGAGCTAACTCCCTGACTAGGAATCTGCCCTTATTGTCAGTTGTGAACCTTTTGAATGATGGGAGGAATACTTCAGGACATCTCTATTTTCCCTGACTTTATTGGCACACATTGGTCTTAAAGGGTCTGTGTCCATTTTCCTTCCAGCCAAGGAGTGATTTTTCTATCCTTCATTATAATGGGCAAGTCACTTCACGGACCTCTGCCTCAGTTTCCCCATCTGTAAAATGAGAATAATGATACTGACCTCCTTTGTAAAGTGTTTTGTGATCTACTGATGAAAAGTGCTATATAAAAGTTAGGTATTAATTATTATTATTATTATTATTATTATTATAGAGGCACTAACACACTTCCTGTTAAAGTTGTATTGAAAAATGCATGTAAAGTGTGGACTATGGGTCTGATCCAATTTCTATTAAACTCAAATGAAAGACTCTTATCAATCACAACAGAAGCTGGATCCGGCCTTTATTTTCATGGATATATATGAAAAACATTCAATATTTCCTTCCCAAACTCATCCCACTTACTGATGGGCCCCAGATTAAGTTCTTGTGAAAGTTGTGGTGCAGCTGTAAATGTGAAATTTAATATTATGATTTAACTTTTATATTGCAGTAGCACCTAAAGACCAAACAGCTCAGGGTCTTATGGTGCTCGGTGCTGTACAAACACGGTAAATATCAGCCCCTGTCCCAAAGAGTTTACAATCTATCAGACGCCTTCCTGAAAGTCAGCACAAGTTTTATAGCAATTCTTTGTGTTCTTCTAGATTAATACTGTAAACATTCAGACACCTCAAAAGGTAACCCATTGATAGAGACAGCCCTTGGGCCAAATTCTCTTTTCACTTACACCAGTTTTACACTGTAGCTTATCTGGGGTGTCTCCTGATTTACACCAATAGGAAAGGAGAAACCTGATTCTACATGTACTTTGATTACAAGTGAGTTTATTGAACTGTCATTTATGAAAGATGCAGTAGTTATGTCATAACATTTAAGAAAGAACCTTAAGCTCAGGATTTACTATAGTATCTTTTTTGTTTATCAATGAATGGAGTTCAGAAACATACCCCTAACTCCATGTTAACCCAGTTTTGTTTGTTTGTTTAGATGAGATAATAGATATACACACCCTGCATGTAGGGTCGTGAGATCCATGCAGAGTTATGTGATAAATGGACTTCCCACATGTCTCTTAACAGGTGCCAAGCGGATAAGAGGACTCTCACCTTAGAGCTTATGGTCTAGGGCAGTTTGTATTGGTGACCCCTTTCACACAGCAAACCAACGAGTCCGACCCCCACTTATAAATTAAAAACACTATTTTTTTGTAATTTAACACTATTATAAATGCTGGTGGCAAAGCTGGGTTTGGGGGGTGCAGGTTGACAGCGTGTGACCCCCCCATGTAATAACCTTGTGACCCCCAGTTTGAGAACCCCTGGTCTGGGGCCACAAGCTTATATATCAGCTGAGACCCAGATCGGGGCCTGGCCATTAGAACTGGAGCATTGTGTGAGGGGACTTCACAGAAGCAGGGATGGGACTTGGCCTTTCCACTGATTTGGGAAGTGGCTCCAGTGTGACATTTGACACAGTTTTAGAAGTGGGTGAAACTGCAAAGGGAGGGGTCAGGGGAAGGAGGGTGAAGAGTGGAGGAAGAGGAGAGGCAGGGCTGGAGTTATGGAGACCTCTGTAGATGGAGATGACACTTCCCCCACAGGCCCTGTGGGAAGGTAAGCAGGCAGGATATCTCATCCATCAGCACCTGGCCAGACTCCCCTCCAGTCTAGCTCCCCCGGCCCCAATGACTGTTTAAAGTGCATTCCCTCCCCCTCACACAGCTCCCCAAGCAGGATGGGAGAGTCGCACTCCCTGCTTAGCCTGTCCTTGCACAGCTATTCTCGGCTCTGGGCCATCTTCTCATCCCCGTGTTCTAACTTCCTCTGTAGCATAGAATCACCAGCCCCCCTGCTGGGTCCTGGCATGAGGACAGAAGTGGGGAGGGTGAGAGGCTGGGCACAGTTGGAAGTTCCTAACCAGGTGGAGGCAGGGCTAGGCCAAGCTCTCTGCAGGTAAGTATTGTCTTCCTGTGCCCCTTCCGACCCCTCCAGCCTTGGTGAGAAACACCTGAGCACGAGTCTGCTCCTGGGGACAGCCCAGTTTCCAAACGGAAAACAGAGACACAGTCAGTGCCATGATTGAAGTAGCAGGCAGGCTCGGGCAGCGCTGTGGGAAAGGGGGATGCATTTTGCAGGGGCAGAGATGAGAGGAGGTTGCAATACACAAGAGGGAGCATGAAGAGACCAGATTGTGGCCTCAGAAGGGACAAGTGCCTGCTGCTGGTGTTTACTAGCCTCCCCAGGCTGCTGGAGAGAGTTCCACGTCTGCCTGGCTCTCACCACTGCAGCAAAGACCGTGAGACTGTGAGCAAGACCTCACAGCCGCCTGCAGTGGCTTCCAGACACCATTCACAGAACAGGAAGCCTTAGACCACAGCGCACTGGTCCTCGGTGCAGAAGATGCACCTACCCCAGTACTCTGAGAACATGGGGGGAGGCAGACGCTGTGCTGGGCCCATCGCTGGAGGGACACGTCCAATGTTTTTGGAAGCTCTTTGCATCCCATTGTGGAAAGCCAAAATGCTGCCTGCAGGGTGTGGGCTCTGTGAGGAGGGAGTGTGGTCTAATGGGTAGGGCATGGGGCTAGAAAACTGGACTCCCAGGTTCAAGACCCAGCTCTGCCTCTAATTCACTGGGGGACCTTAGCAAAGTCACTTGTCCTCTTTGTCACCCAGTTACCCCACCCGTAAAGCCGGGGATGATAATATCTGTCTCTCAGGGGGTTGTGAAGATTAAACTGATGTTTGCAAAGGCACCCTGCACTCCATAGGCACTGTGTCCCGCCCCGCCTGTGGCTATGTACTACAAACACAGGGAGAACCAGCAACTGCCTGTGAACACTGGCTGCAAAGAGCTGATCCTGGACCAAACTCCAGGTTATCAGCAGCCTGCAGGGTGTATGTTGGCAACAAGGTCTGGCTCCCAATCGCACCAATGCAGCCCTATCAGGGAGCAGGTAATTCTGCCACCACAACCACTGTGGAAGATGCACATACACAGCCTGCTTTGT